TGGAAAACACACCCAGATGACTCGGAAATTGTATGGGTATGAAAAACGACTTCTACACCTTGATGAGCAAACCCACTCTGGCAGCTTCTCAAAGAAGAAACTGAGTGTGAACAGCAAACTCGACCTGAGAGGAAACCAAAAGCAGCCAGCTGTCCATGTAATGGTGGAAACAAAGGCCTCTGTCAAGCAAACAACCAGCCTACTCAGTAGAAAGCATAAAGAGCCAAGGCCAGGCCAGAAGGTAGAGCCCAAAACTGATAAACACAGCCCTGATAACAAAGAAGAAAGGAAATGCTGGGATGCCCAAGAGATGAGAATGTGTAGATAGGCATCCAACAAGTCGATCTTCATCATCCACAACCCAAGAGTGAAAACCCACTAAAGGGTTAAGTAAGACTCCAATGTGAATTCAGGTACAATGAGGAAATGATTCAAAGACAATAAATCTATAACTGGTCACCAATTCTCCATTATTTTGGTTACGACAAAAAGACCGAGGTAAGATCCCAGCTGAGAAGAGTCTCTAAGTTCTACAGCATATTTCTGAGGAAAATTCCTAACCACCTTTTGTAACTGCTGGTGAGAAAACAGGATCCTTTAGTGGGGGAAGGCAATGAGATGAGGAGACAGTGAGGGAAGGGAATGGAAGTGAAGGTTCATACGCCCTGATAGAACCTGTGGGACTCATGGATCCATTGTGAAAGGTGTCCACATATGGAAAAAATGGAAAAGCCTGGCCCCCACTATCCCCAACTCCAAAGCTGAGTCATTGACATTGTAATCCTCTGAAACAGCTTTGAGTAACAAAGTCGACTGCGAATGGATGAACAACAAGAAGCCGGGACCGGCAAAGGGTTGGACGAGGGGGGGCGAGACAAAAAACTGGAGGAGGAAGCTCATAGAAACAGGAAGATAAAGAGGATAATGAATTATGCAGATGATAAGACTTAACTCAGGCCTCCAATGAGCCGGGAAAACTGCTAAACACCGGTTGGGACCTTCTGGGTAGGGATGCCATTCTTTCTTGAGTACGTTTACCTGCTACTTTCCTATGCAAACTGCTCATGGCACCTTTTTTTACGTGAATAGCATATCAAGCATGTCTGAAGAGACAGAGCCAAAGGTGAAAGGCATGCCACTGTAATAAACAAAAGACTGAACATCATCTGAAAACCCTTAAGGAGACAAGTGAATTGTCTAAGCCAGTAAGTGCATAGTCAATAATGCACGCAGAATTGTGGACAACATCTGTTTGATACGTGAATTGAGGTTGTGAGAAATCCACTGATGCATTAGGGTCTGAACCTCACAATGTAATGAGAGATACCAAATGTTTGGAATCAGGATAAGGGAAGGAAGATCTATGAAATGCATAAGAATGATCTGCAGATGTACGAGGCAGACGAGGTATACTAAACCCCGACCAAAGTTGATCCCCTAAAATGCTGGGTATGAACCACAACATCAGGTGAGGGAAGAAACATTAAATACTGGCCCATAGATTCTTCAGCAAAAGAGGGCAGGTTGATAATCACAAAAAACAGGAGATAAGGATAATACAGCACAAACCTGATAAATCAATTCCACAAAGGGTGAAGGAGGTCTTGGGAAATCCCCTGATATCACTCGTGAATAGGTAGCATATTCAGGGTGGGAGAATAGGCTGTCCAAATTCTCATCCTCCCTGTCAGACACTCCAGGAACAGGCATGATAGAATATTCTTCATGTGGTGTTGAAGGTTGCATGAACACGGACCAACGTCCTAGGCCAATAATTTAGTATTCAACCCAATAGTAGTGGTTGGGAAACCATAGCAGCAGTAACAGCTGTGGTTGTAATAAGATCTGAAACTGTGAAAGCATAGTGACTATTCCAAACATGAAGAAAAAAAAAATGAAAAATTAAGAAAAGTTGGAAAAGCAACACCATTTCACAAATCAGAAACACAAAAAATTAAAGAAATATTAAAAAAAAGGAAGTCTGTAGTATAAAAAAAAAACACTGTCAAATTGGCGAGCAAAATCAAGCACGTCTGTACAGTGCTATTGCCACCCAAGAAGTGATCAACAAGTACAACTGTGGAGAGGGTGCTGGTTATGATAGGGGTTGTGTTGTGCTCCTATTAGCGGAGAGCTGTTGCATAATCATTTACATGTAGATATGCACAAGAGGGAGGTGGAAGGATAGTGGCGAGCAGTGACAATTTGCACTGACAGAGGACAGTACTGTTTGTTTGTTTTTGAATTTCCAGCAAAGCTACACGAGGGCTATTTGCACTAGCCATCCCTAATTTAGCAGTGTAAGACTAGCGGGAAGGCAGCTAGTCATCACCACCCACTGCCAACTCTTGGGCTACTATTTTCCAATGAATAGTGGGATTGACCATCACATTATAACACTCCCATGGCTGAAAGGGTGAGCATGTTTAGCAGGACAAGAATTCAAACCTGCAACTCTCAGATTGCGAGTCGAACACCTAACCACCTGGCCATGCTAGTCTGCGAGGGCAGTACTAATCGAGAAAAGGTGAGATATCGTATTGAAATATGCTTTGCCTGAGTGATGACAAGATTATAATGAGTAATTTACATTAAATTTTGTACTTCTTGGAGGGGGTGGTAAATAAATTAGGGAAGAGAGGATGCCTAGAGAGAAAATGTCACAATTCTCACACTAGGAGATATTCAGATTTCTTTTGAATATTGCCATATAAAGTTATGAACTTAAAATTTATATACTATTAAAATTTGGATTATTAAATACGTTTTATACCAAATTTATTCATATACCATGATAAAAAAGTAGTTAAATTAAATTTTGAATGTAACTCACTAAAACCCCATGACACGCAGAAAAAGATGCCAATAGTGAAGGAATTACAGAGATAAGAAGCAAATGCAATGCCAAAAGGAAGGGATCGGGTTCTGGATGACCCGATCTCAATGGATGAAACAGAAAATGTCTGAAAGACAGGGTGATTGTAATGCATAAAAATGTATCCAAAATGTTGAAAGTAAAGAAACCTTTCATATGGAACTGAGGGATGATAAGAAACTGGTGGGGAGATGAGGTGACAACCAGGTATCAGTTCCCAGTTGTCTAGGGGACCACAAAAAGACAAGAGGAATAACCAAGTGTAGGGGTAAATATCCTCCTGATGGTAACATCAGATCTGAAATCACATCCTCAAGACACTGAATATAATGGGGAACACATGGAGGAGGAATAGAAATGGAAATGGGGAGAAGACAGAGTGAAGTGGATAGACAGGCTGTGGGAGAGAACCTGAATAACTCATCTCTCAGTTGAAAATGGAGACTGAAGGCTGATGAAGAGGGATAGACAGGCCCACACAGAACCATACCTGACAAGTTAATGACTGATGAGACAAGCAATGACCCTGACATTGAAAATTGGGAGAAGGGGAAGTAAAAAACGGCCAGGAAACTAGGATGGGAAGAGGTGATGTGGATTCAGCAAGCCTAGAAACAGAATGGTGAGGTTAAGAATGAAGAGAAGCCATAGTGGACAATGAGGACTGATGCTTGGCTATCTCTGTTTGGGTCTTCAGTGAGTCATGAACACCCATGAAGACCTCTGGTTGAAGAACTGAGGCAAAATCAAAGCAGAAGAAAGGACAAAAATTGGATGGAGAGCATCCCATTCAACCAAGCTACAACAACAGAGGAACTGAATAAGGATGGATAGAGCAGAAAAAGTAGTATGGGCCAACATGGTGTAAAAAAAAACAACAACAAATATCTCCAGAAAACCCTCCTATGGAACACGGTGAAGTGATAAGAGGTAATGTAGGAGGGTGTTAAGAAAGAGACATAGGCATGAAAATTGAAAAATAGAAAGGGAAATAGAAGTTAAGGGGCCCACCACCATCAGGCAGATAAAAGAGATTCCAAAGACTGTGAATCAGAGAACAGAAATGTAATCCAGGTCAAAAGAGTCAAGGAGGAAAAGGTATGGTAGTATGGATGTACAGTTGTTTGAGAGACAAGTCTGCATGGACTCTAATGTCAGGTGAAAGAGGAAAGATAGAGTAGTCTGAGGTATGGGTTTCATTGTCACTATCATGGGATGAAGCAGAAGTTACCATCACTTGAGAATTCATAATAGACAAAGTTAAGGCTGTGCTTAGAGGAAACCCTGGTTGGGGAAACATCCAGTCAAATCATCATCATCCTGATCGTGTTACAATTGGGGTGAAGGAATGTTAGCCAAACAGAAGGGAGGAGGAGGCCCAGTGTGCATGAAGGAATCCAAAAAACATTGAAGAATTGCTGTCATGTCCTCCACAGACAACAAGCCCCCAGAAACCACAATTGATACAGGTCCAATGTTAGGAACACTATCACTATCATGGAATGAAGCATAAGTTAACATCACTTTAGAATTCATAATAGGTAAGCAGGAAAAAAAAATATTTTTCTTTAGTAATAAAATAAACCAGTGAACTTTAAGTTTTGTAAACTATCACAAATATAATTTAATTTATTAATAATTTTAAAAACATGTCCGTTCTAGGCAATACCAAGGAAAAGAACAAAGTTATTTAGAGTGCATGTGCCTAAGGGGAGTTACTGTGCAAGAAGGTTGTATTGTCCTCCTATTGGTGGAGGACTACTGTTGCATGATGATGTTATCATACACTAGTACACTTCACATTAAACTCAGGATTTTTAGGTGGGAATTAGCTTAAGGCTAGTGGCTTGCAAATCTCAGTGCAAAGGATTAAGTTATTGTGTGTGTAGAGGTGAGGTATTGTCTTGGAAAGATGAAAGTAGTGAAACCAATGAAGTTAAATGGATATAGGTATGGAAATGTAAAAAATAAATTATATACACATGGAAAATGTGAAAGATAATAGGCTTTAGGTAGGAGAGCATAAACATTAAATGATTAAAATATGTGAAAGTTAAATGGTTTAATACATGGAAACACATAAGAAAAATTGGATTTTATATAGAAACATATGATGGTAACTTACAGTTGAAACTGTTAAAACAAAGCCAGGTGTTAGGCTATGGTGATGACTAGATCCACATAACATGCCAAGACATGAAGATAGAAGATCCTGGAAAATGAGCAGCCTGTCTCTGTTGCTCTGTTTTAATTCTTGGAACTCATGTTCATCCAAAGAGAGCATCAGTGCATCAAGTTCTAGATGCACCTGTATAGAATTCACATTATAATGTATCACTATTCTTTAATATTTTGTTGAATTTTAAACCATTCAACATATAACAGACCCATCATTCAGAAGAAACAAAAATTTATTATGATTGTCTTCCAGAAGAATCAAACAATTACTGAGGTTAATCACACTTTATAAAGATAATTGTTCCAGGTCTCATACTACTCTTGGATCTTCTTTCATTGTCAAATGTGTCCAGTCTGATTGCAGTCATTATGCTCTATTGTCAAACATAGTTTTAATTGTAACAACTTTCTGTAAGGTCAATCTTATACTACAAACATTCCACAGATCCTCCACTGTATGTGAATTATGCCTTCAAATAGCACATTTAAGCAGGGCAAAAGCACAAAAGAAATCTACAGCTGAAATAGAAGACTTGACAGGTATGTGGTCAAATGGGGCTTCCATGATTTCAGTTTCTATGGCCATTTTTCTCTTGCAAGAAGTCACCGATTTTCAGGTGTGGCTGGAAGATTATGAACTCTCAGCTCATGAGCCTTTGCCAACTTCAAATCCTTCTTCATTAATTTTGAATAGTACCAGAATATATGTCCAGTTTCATCAAAAAGGATTTTGGGATTAGAGGAATCTTATTTATAGCCACTACCTTTGTTTTGATGGCATCACTCTGGTGTAATTTTGGAGCATGTTGCAGTCTTAAATGCTGAGTAAATTTTACAGCTTCTATGCAGAAAACTGAAGGTTCCCCTTTTGAAATGTTATTCCCCGTGGCACTACATCTCTTAATTTTGTACTGTATGAATATTTCTATTCGGAAAGGGTTTACATATCTTTTTTAGTCGCAAGTCTACTTTTGTACCAGAATGGCTCCCAATTATGCCAACATTTTTATGGGTCCTATTGAAAACCAGCTTTTACAACTAAGCCCTGTAAAACCTCATACATGGAAACATTACATGGATGACATATATTTTTCATTTGGACAGCCGGTCTTAAATCACTTGAAGAATTTATCTCACATGCAAACCCCTTTCACAAAACAATCAAGTTTACCAGTGATTACTCGCCTTCTCAGATTAACTTTCTTGACATCACTGTTTTTCGGAATTTTACATACTGACTTGTACAAAAAACCTACAGACAGACCACAATACCTTCACTATAAAAGCTGTCACTCCTCTCACGCTAAACAAAACATTAGCTACAGTCAAGCTATTAGAATAAAGAAAATGTGTTCAGATGAAAGACTACAGAAAACACACCAAGGGTATAAAACAAAACATGTTACAAATAGGATATAAAGATACCAAAATCAACAGACAAATTGCAAAGGCTAACAACACTCAGTGGAAAAACATCCTAAATCAGAGCAACACTAAACTTTCAAATAGAATTCCTCTTATTATTACCTATCAATTTAAACTCAGAAATGTTTCACGAATTCTGAAAAAACATTTTCATATCCTACAGCTCAATGATTGTCTCAAACAGATATTTCCTGAAGTTCCGATTGTCTCCTTCCAAAAAAGCAGAACTCTAAAATATATTTTTGTTCACATAAAAGTGAATTACATCTCACCCAAAAATGGTTGTCGTCCATGTAATAAAACCCGTTGTCAAACCTGCAAGTTCAGAAAAACCACTGACTCATTTTCTGACAAGCACAATCAAAGAATTCACATGTGAAACAAAAAACATCATTTGCCTTATACAGTGTAAATAATGCAATCACTAATATGTAGAACAAACACAAACAACTCAGAGAATGTTTCAACAACCACAAGTCTTTTATTAACACTGAAAAAGTTCTCCCTGTTGCTCAACATTTTAACCAATCTGATCATTCCATTAATGATGTTACTCTCATCGGTATTGAAACAGGATTCAAAACTAAAGCAAATATAGAAATAAAAGAAGCTTATTGGATTGCTAATCTAAACATTGTTCAACCTTTCGGAATTAATCTAGATCCTGAAATCAGTGATCTCTGTTCATTGGTTTCATCTCTGTCAGAAAAATAATTGTTATTCTTTGCATATTTTTTCATGTCATGTGTATGCTGAATTTCCTAAAACTTACTACTTATTTAAGATAATTTTTAATACCTGTTTCTATAAATTGATTAGCATAACATATCTTTTTCAATCAGTCTCCAGGTGTCATCTTTATATTTTACTTAAACACTTAAATATATTTTTAAATATACATATATTTAGCCATTTCTAAAGTAAAATATCACTAACACCTTTCAACATACACTTTCGCCATCAGCTACATTGTACCGGAAATAAGACGCTTACAACACAGAAAAATAGACTAAACATTTCCTGGAAAAACCATATGACCTTCATGGAATCACTAAAATCCCTTTATATATATTACTCATTCGATTACACCACCATTCCCAGTTTGCCCCTAAAGATGAAAGGTCCACCTTTCAAAAGAGCTTGGGTTATAGGGTTTTATTCATTTCTATCAAGACTTCTTAAACCTATGTGTTTTTCTAACATCATGTTTGTAAACATTGCAGTATTGAATGGTCATACATTTTTCATGAACCAACTACTTAGGTCTAAAGATGTTAAATGTGCTACCAGGGCTTGGACCTGTAGTGACACATCAGTGTATTAGCATACACAAATCATTCAGATAAAGTGTGATTTACTCAGTTTGTCATCAATTCATCATACTGGTTTATAGAAACATCAGCCACTACCTTTAATCTTTATCAAAACTATATTCCAAACATTTGAGGCTATTCAACTTTTCAATTAAATTATCACATTATTTTTGTCAGTTGAAAACATATAAGCTTCAATAACATGTACATACAGTTTATTTTATTTTTTACATATTACAGTGAAAGTTAGATAAAAGTGAAATTTCAATTGCTTCAAACTTGAATAAAAATTAGAGAAAAGAAGGTTACACACACACACACACACATATATATATATATACATACGAGGCCTGTGAT